GTAAGGTGATGTTTGAGGGGAGGCGTTAATATCAGAGTTGAGTGTTTATGTATGTAATAGGTTGCAGTAATAAGTTGGATGTTTTGTATGGTGTGTAGGTGAGTGTATTGTTGAATTTGGTGGTGTGTGCTGCCTGTAGTGTGGAATTGTTATCATTTAACTGCAGCTTTAGTTGGGTAATTTAGTGGTCTGAAGTTGGTTCTTGTTGGTGTGCCCCATGCACAAATTCCATTGGTGAGATTAGGGGTATATAAGGGATGCTATAGGGCCAGGAGGGCTGACTGTGGAGCATTGTTACCGTTCTTCGATAGTATGCTACAGTCTTGGTAATTTTATTAGAAATGTGTTGTATATGTGTATGAAATTTGAGTTCTATTATCCTAGGTGGATATTCTAGGAATTTCCTCATGTTAGCTTTGTGATAGGTGATCCGTTAACATTATGTTAAGAGGGGACTTATGTAGCTCTGTTACCAATACTGAATGTAGTTTGGTTTTGTCATTGTTAGTGTAAGTGTGTTAGTAATCATCCAGGTAGATATTTCTGTAATTCGTATTTACTGTATTGGCTAGCGTGACTGAGGCTCGGGAGGGAGAAGACGTATGTTGTGTCATCAGCTATTGTGTGGGTTGTGTTAATTGAGAAGCATTTGGTAGGTCATTTATTGTATAGGAGAAAGAGAAGAGGGCAAGGGATCACTTCCCTGGGGGGGACAAACCAAACTGTAATTGTGGTGCAGAAGAGTTTGCCCCCATTTGCGTACACATATTGGCTCTGTTGTGAGGTATTGACTTGAGTAGTCTTGAGGGAGTGACTCTTATAACATAGTGTGACAATTTTACGTGGAGCAAGGTCATGGGGAAAAACTGTATCAAAATGTTTTAGTAAGTCAATGAAGATCCCCTGTTGGACTTCTTTTTTCTCTAATTGCAGTGTATATATGTTCTGCATGTGTATAATAGCATCATTAGTATTTTTATTAGGGCATGAATTCCTAATTGGCAGGGGTTGAGTATGATTTGGGAGATAAGGTTGGTAGTTAGATTCGTTTTTGAATTATTTTTCGAAGATTTTTGAGGAGGGTGTAAGTCTTGATTGGTGGGGCGTGAGGGAAATGTTAAACAGTTAGGAAGTAGCCATATGTAACATTAGTTTCATTGGCCGGCGACTTATTAAGGCAGGGTAAGTTCCGCTCCCGCTTAACCCCCATCTTTTTAACCCTCCCCGGAAAGTGAAGTTTGATGCCGGCTGCTTGTTAGGTAGGGTCAGTCTAGCTCCCGTTTCCTTTCCTTCCTTCTTGCCCCCCCCCCCCCGAAAAGGTGACGCTGTGGGTCCGGTCCAAACAGTAATCCACTAGACTCACAGCCTCTGCATTCTGTAAGTACATGCACTTCCTTGTATTCTAGTGGATTTGTTGGTTGAAAGCTTCACTTCTGACAATAATAAACTTAGTCCTTTCAGTCTTGGCTCTAAGTTGACTGCTGTATTTATCACCAGTTCTTTTAGGTATTGTACTTTCATAGAGTGTGATTTCTTATATGCAGTGGGTTACCTGTTCTATCTTTCAGCTTGGATGACAGAGAGGTCACTGCCATTCAACGTGTTGAATTGAAGGAGACGGAATAACATTTGAGATGTCCCAAATTTTGATCCACTTTCCTGTTTGTGTATGCAAATAGATGATATAACCCTCATCTTTGCAGTGGAGAAAACCTGAATTTCCTGTCATATTGAAGGACTATTGAAAGCTAGAAATTCTGTGAAGAACCGAGTGGTGGGGTTGTCATCAACACCTGCGCCCCCCTCATCAGCAACGGCTACGATTTTCAACAACACACAGTGTCACAACACAGGACACCACCACGTTTTAGATACTTTTATATTAGGCGGTGAATTCAGTTATCTTTTATTTTTTTTTATTTTTCATTTTTAATTTTCTTTAATGTTGGATCAATATTTTTCATATTTAAAAGTGTTTTTTATTTTTATATTTTCTAAATATTAAAGTGTTTATGTTTGTCATTTATTTTTCTGAGGAGGGAGGCAGCTTTGGTAATGACTGTCTGAAGTTGTTACAGAGCAGAGTAAGCCATTCACACATGGATAGGGCATAAAAGTAAACAGGTTATAAACAAAGTTATGGGGGAAAGAAACGGGAAGACTTATGCTGCAAGTTGTGCACCAGACAGTACCAGGAGGTTGTTGGGGTGACCTGAACCCTTTGAAATTATTGATAGCCGACAATTAGTGCCAAATTACATAATTGAAGGAATAAATAACAGATTGCGGATTTGTGATGGCAGACCTGTAGTTTGTTGTAGTTTAGTCTTAGTTGTGTAGTAGTCATAGTAGTATATAGTAGTAGTTAAAGTATAGTAGTTGTTATAGTCATAGTAGTTAGTAGTATAGTCGTAGTAGTAGTTATAATCACAGTGGTAGTCATAATCATAGTTATAGTCATAGTTGTTGCCATAGTCTTATTTGTAGTTAGTCGTGTAGTAGTCAGTGTCGTAGTGTTTCGTCGTAGTAGCAGTCTTGTCGTAGAAGTAGCCATAGTCATATATTAGTTATAGTCGTAATAGTAGTTATAATCGAAGAAGTAGTTATGGTCGTAGTAGAAGTATTGTTGTTGTAGTAATTTTTAGTCGTCGTAGTAGTCATAATCACAGAGTATAGTTGTAGTAGTTAGTGCCATAGTCGGAGGTAGTAGTCATAGTGTGTAGTCATAATCACCGCTATTAATCACTTAACCTCTTAAGACCGGTACTGACGAGATGGCTTACTACTCCAGAGCCTCCTGTACATTTACAACTTTACCAACCCACCTACCCTCGCACACGACCCACCCCTAAAGCCCCCCCAAACGCGCACTACATTCCGCACACATCCACGGCACAACTGACGAATTCTCATCTTCCCCTGCCTCCCCTCCCCTAGCCTCCCACCCTTGTAAATTCCATTATTCCGTTTCATGACATCCAGAAGTATCAACAACAATTTTTTTTACCTTAAAGATAGATTTACATGCACAAAAGAATGAACATTCAACATGACAGATACCTTTACTGAAGGCTGTTGTTTGAATGAATGGAGGACAGTTTTCACTCAGGAAAGACATGACTATATCCCAGTAATAATTTTTATAGTGGGGCTGAAGATGATAAATATCGCAACAGCAAAATGGTTATCAAACGGATAAAATAAAATAAATCCCCGGGCCGTGATGAACTTTTTTCAAGGGTTCTTAAAGAGTGTAAAATGGAACTCTGTGTACCTTTAACTAATATCTTTATTTCATCTTAAAACAGGTGTAGGTGATATGTAGAGATGGCTAATGCGATTCCTATTTTTTAAGCAGGGGACAAGTCGTTACCGTCCAAATTTCTGCCCATAAGGCCTAACCTCCTTTGTTGGAAAATTACTAGAGTCAATTATAGCCGATTATAATAAGAAGCCATCTCGATAGGCATTAATTTGATTATGATATCAACATGGGTTTCACCAGGGGCTTTTCTCCCCCTAACATATTTATTTACACTTCTTCAGCAAAGTTTTTGAGGCCGTTGATCAGAATAAAGAATTCAATGATTGTTTTTTTAGATTTTAGTAAGGCTTTTGATAGTAGTACCACATCAGAGTTGTTGTAGAAAGTGGCTGCCCATGGGCCTTGGGGAGGAAATAATGCCTCTTGGTTCGAGTCTTGGACTCACTAATAGGAAGCAGAGAGTGTGCATAAAGAAAATAAGAACATAAGAATGTAGGAACAATGCAGAAGGCATACTGGCCTACGAGACAGGTCCTTTATCAAAACGACATTACCTAAAGTACTCAAGAAATAACTACCCGATACCCACTTGACACCACCAATCAAACCCAGCCCCTCCCCACTATATATATGTCCAGTTTTTTAAAAGCTAACCCAAGTCCTAGCCTCCTATCACCCCACTGGGAATGACTGTTTCACGACATATACAACTCTGTTAGAAAACAAGTACTTACCTATGTCCCTTTCTAATCTAAATTTATCCAAATTAAATCCCAATTTTCAGGGGTTCTTCCTGGTTCGGACACCCTTCAGTTACTTTATTATGTCTCCCTTGTTTATGCCCGTCATACACTATACACTTCAATGTTATCTCCCCTCAGTCTACGCCTCTCCAGTGAGTGGAGATTTAAGGCTTTAAGTCTATCTTATAACGGGAGGGTTCCTTAACAGTAAATCATTTTTGTAATTCTTCTCTGTATGTTCTCTAATGAGTCTATGTCCATCCTGATAGTAAGGGGACCAATACTGAGCAGCATATCTAAATGAGGCCCTCACTAGTGATGTATAGAGCTGTAAATAACTTTTGCGACCTCTGTTTCTTATACTTCTTGAGATAAATTCCAGTAATCTGTTTGGCCTTGTTGTGCACACTAAGGCACTGCTGGCTTGGCTTCTAGATTTATGCTTACCTTTGAATCCAAGTCTTTTTCTCATTCTGTATGACAAAGCTCTACTTCCACCTAGATTAAGATTAGGGGTTATTTTCATTGACCAAGGGCAAGTACCTTACACTTATCACATTAAACTTCATCTGCATTTTTCAGACAAGACATTAATTTGTTCAAAATCGTCTGGAGTTCATTGATATCCTCCTCAGGAGTGATTTATAATGGCTATCTTTTTATCATCAGCAAACTGACTCATGTTCACTTGTAATCCCTTCTCAAGGTCATTAATGTAAATTTTGAACCAGGAGTGGGCCTAAAACTGATCTGTGGAACGACCAACTAGTGACTAATCCCCATTAAGATTGCACTTCCATTTATGGTAACTCTCTGCTTTATATTGGTTAAGCCATGCCTCAAATCCATGCTAGAAACTTTTCCTCCTTTACCATGAGCTGCCACTTTCTTATGAGTCTTTGTGAGGTACTCTGTCGAAGGCTTTACTAAAATCCAAATAAAACTATATCATTTCCATATTCACTGTCACTGAATCTAATGTTCTTTTGAAGATCGTCAGTAAGTTTGTCAGGCAGGAACGACCTCTCGTTGAATCCTTGCTGAGCGATTCATTTTTCTATGCTATGTTTTTACTCTTCAAGGTGACTTCTGATTAAGGTCAGCTATAATTGATTCTAATAACTTGCCCACTATTGATGTCTGGCTTATTGGCGGTAATTTGAAGGAGTGGACTTTTCCCCTGATTTGAATATATAGGAACCACATTAGCCATCTTCCACAATCTGGCACAACATGGTAGGATGGGACGCATTGATTACACTCGTTATGGTGACTAAGCTCATCTTGCATTCTTTAAGTACCCGTGAAAACAAATCATCGGGTCCACGGGGAACTTATTTTGTTTCGTTTGTCTATTGTTTAATAACATGTCCCTCGTGACGTATTAGTAGTTAAATTAAATTCATCAGGAACTAACTAATTGTTAAATACTGGAATCTCATTTACATATTCCTGTTTGTAAAACTGACAAAAAATAGTCATTAAACAAGGATCACATTTCAGTTCATTATCGTCAGCTTGTCATTTACACAGATTTCAGAGAGGTCCTACTTTTTCCATTCTCCTTGTCCTATACACTTGAAAGAACCCCTTTGGATTGTATTTGATTCCATTAGCACTCGAATTTCATAGTCTCGTTTATAGCTTTCTATTAGCATTTTGTACTTCTCTTTTAAGCTGAATATATGGTCAGTAGGTTCACCTCTCCTCTTTGATGATCCTATAAATTCCCCTTTTCTCCCTAATAGTGCTTTAGCCTCTGTTATACCATTTGGGATCGTTCATTATTAGACCTAATTTCTCTATGGGGAATGTATATACTCTGGGCAGTGTGTACATTTTTAAGAAAAAAACTAGTAAATGCAGATCCCTTCATATTACATAAGTATGATTTCGTCCATTAAATAATATAATCATTAGATAGATACCCATTCAAGATTAGACAGATGTTCCTAAAGTCCATTATAATCGGCAGAACGAAAAAATCAGGGATTTTTTACTAGTATTATCTTATTCTTGCATTCCCATTAATGCTAAAAGTGATGGATTGTGATCACTTGAGCCAAGCTCTTCAGTGATCTCCAGATTATTCATGAGTGATTTAATTATTTTGACAAGACTAGGTCTAGATATATTAAACCATCTGGTAGGCTCTGTGACTCGTGTGTCCAGATAACAGTCCTGAACTGTTTCCATGAAGTCACTGGACTCTAGATTACCTGTCAAAGAATTCAGGTCAATTTGGCTCTAAGTTAATGTCCCCTACTTTGACTATGTTTCTGTGTCAGAAGCCCTAACAATTTCGTCCAAAAGAAGTTCTCACTCTATCGTTGATCAAGCCTGGAGGGGTCGGTATATTACACCTAGAATTAGTTTTTCTTGACCTCCACGAACTCTACCCAAACAGACTCTTGTTACTGATCCATCTATTTTTATACCGGTTTTTATGCAAACAATTAATATTTTCTCGAAATACAATGCAAAATCCTCCCCCTTCCACATTTCAATCTATCACATTGAACAACTTAAATCCTGATTATTTACATCAGCAGTCGTGTATCCCGGACTATTTAAATCATACCACGTTTCAGTTAAGCAATGATATCAAAGTTCCAGCACATGCTACCAAACGTAGTTCATTAATTTTATTTCTTGCACTTCGACTGTTAGCATAAAATACCATCATATGTTTTTTCTTCTGCACTTTTTCCTATTAATCTTTGTTTTAAACGCAATCTGAAATTATCTTTACCCAGGAGTTACTCCTTGACATTTACTATTAAGATTCTTAATATCAGAGCATAAGTCAATATATCCATACTCATTATTAATCATTTCTAAACCCATACTCAGCCAACAATTAATACCAATTGCTCTGGACAACAGTCATTTACCACCCTCTTTTGCAAAATGCCACATATTACAGGGGCCCCACCTTCTTCTAATCTGTCTATAGCTGGTCCTGAACTGTCTAACTAAAATTCTCTCACTTCTACGCTTGCTAACATCATGGCCTCCAGCACTGAGGCAAATAATAGGATTGATCCCATTACCGTTCATGATGTTGTCAAGCCGGCTAACAATGTCCTCCATTCCCAGCACCAGGAAAGCATACCCTTTGTAGCTACTCCTGTCCTTCAAGCAGAATGCACCCTATTACATGTATCTAACCTGGGATATACCCAACAAACAACAATATTCTTACCTTCCTTGTTGTGTGTTCGTAGGGACGATCCAGTAGTTGTATTCAATTCGTCGGGTTAGCACGAGGAATGCGTTGGAGGTTTCCACGGGAGTTTCCACAGCAGTCTTCTTTCTTCTTCAGCGTTCTGCTTTCCATTCGTCTTCTTGATCGTCACTTAGTCGGTCCCCTGCTGGCCAGCCACTGAACCACGATCCCTTCTTGTCCTGTGGACTCGTAAACAGGAGGACTACTACGAATCCTCTTGCTTTTCCTCGGTCAATAGCCGTTTCTCCATCTTCGCTGCCCTCAATTCTTACCTTAATGTTGCTGGTAAAGTTGCTCGATGGAGGGCTTCTTGGTTCAGTCAACGGGTGCATACAAAGGATATACGTCACAGAGTTAAGTACAGGTCACACTGAGTTAAAGTTACAGGTCCCCACTCTATGTTCTGGTCTCACTGTTAAGGACAGGTCACCACTGTGGTTAAATCTGATGGGGGATCTGTAAAAATCACCTAGTGGCGTTCTGCAGGGATCAAGGTTGTTAGGCCCTTAGTGTTGTTTTTAATATTATTTAAACGACCTTGACGAGGGGGGAATTAATTGTGACATATAGAAAATTGCTTTGTGACACGAAGATAGGATAATCGATTCAGACGTTGATGTCTCACAACTTAGGAAGGATTTAGACAAAAACTTAATTCGTGTCAGTAAAGTGGCAGATGCTGTTCAATGTAGATAAATGTAAGTTCGAAAGCTCAGATATGTCATAGCCCTAGCAACTACAAGCTGAATAATGTTGAACTTAGCAGTATAGAATGCAAAAAGGATTTGGGGGTTATGATAAGCAGCAACCTTAAACCGAGACAGCAATGCCTAAGCGTACGTAACAAGGCAAATAGATTATTGGGATTTATATCAAAGAAGTGTAAGCAACAGAAGTCCAGAGGTTATACTGCAGCTTTATACATCATTAGTAAGGCCTCACCTAGATTATGCAACTCAGTTCTGGTCTCCATATTACAGAATGGACATAAATTCGTTAGAAAACATTCAGAGTAGGATGGCTAAATTAATACACAGAACATAAGAACATAAGAAACATAAAAAAGGAGGAACACTGCAGTAGGCCTCTTGGCATACTAGACAGGTCCTTTACAATTCATCCCACTAACAAAACATTTGCCCAACCCAATTTTCAATGCTACTTAAGAAATAAGCTCTGATATGCAAGTCCCACTCAAAGTCCAACCCCCCTCACTCATGTATTTTTCCAACCCTAAATTCTGAAACTTGCCCCAAAGTCCTAGCCCATTAAACCCTACTAGAGTAGAATGTTCCATCATAACTACTATTCCAAACCAATACTTCCCGACATTCCTTTGTAAATCTAAAACTTATCTATTGCCACTATCAGCCTCAAACTCATCGCCTATCAGCCTCCTCGACCTGTGGTGACCTGTACTTAACTCTGTGAAGAAGTGTCTTGTGTGCTCTCCGTGGACTGAACCAAGATGCCCTCCATCAAGCAACTTTACCAGCAGCTTAAGGAAGAATTGAGAGTAGCGAAGATGGAGATACGGCGATTGACCGAGGAAAACAAGAGGATTCGTATAGTCCTCCTGTTTTGAGTGCTCAGGTCAAGAAGGGAACGTGGTCAGTAGGTGATGTTTATTCATGTGTGCATCAGTTATCATACTTCCTAGGTTTTCACTAAAATGGTTAATGTTTGACCGTGGTACTCAGTAGATGTTTAACACTGTGATAGGTTTTTGTAGGTATTTTGTCCAGAGGGCTGAGGAAGGGTTGTTGAGGTGGTTCGGACATGTAGAGAGAATGGAGCGAAACAGAGTGACTTCAAGAGTGTATCAGTCTGTAGTGGAAGGAAGGCGGGGTAGGGGTCGGCCTAGGAAAGGTTGGAGGGAGGGGGGTAAAGGAGGTTTTGTGTGTGAGGGGCTTGGACTTCCAGCAACCATGCGTGAGCGTGTTTGATAGGAGTGAATGGAGACAAATGGTTTTTAATACTTGACGTGTTGTTGGAGTGTGAGCAAAGTAACATTTATGAAGGGGTTCAGGGAAACCGGCAGGGCCGGACTTGAGTCCTGGAGATGGGAAGTACAGTGCCTGCACTCTGAAGGAGGGGTGTTAATGTTGCAGTTTAAAAACTGTAGTGTAAAGCACCCTTCTGGCAAGACAGTGATGGAGTGAATGATGGTGAAAGTTTTTCTTTTTCGGGCCACCCTGCCTTGGTGGGAATCGGCCAGTGTGATAATAAATAATAATATTGGACTTGAATTTGGCTATTATATATTCCCCATGTTCATCCTTTGTGCATGTATTATTGATACATTCTAGATGGTCTGAGTAGTATATAGCTGTGCCACCCCCTTGTTGGTCTGGCTAACAGTTGGGTATGGCTGAGTAACCAGGAATAGCATAGACATCTGCAGTATCTGGCTTTAGCCAGGTTTCGGTGAAAGTAATGATGGACACACTGGCATGCAAGGAATTTAGTAATGCTATGAGGTCATCACAATGTTTGCTTAAAGATCTGATATTGTAGTTAAAGACAGTTATGTTGTTGTTGGCTCTGAGAAGTGCCTTTGATTGTTCTGCTGTGTAGTAATTACAGTTACTGTTTGATTCATTTAAGTCATTCAATAAGAGGTTGGTATCAGGATCAATGCTTGTAATCATAAGATTTATAGTGAATCTATAATTAGACTTAAGTATAAGACAAAGTAAATATTCTAAAGCTAAAAAATAGCACATGAATTATTTTAACAAATGTAAATATATGAACTAAGGTAGTTCTTTAACCCTTTGAGGGTCGACAGGCCCTCTCCGAAACTCGTTCTCAGGGTCGGCCAAATTTAAAAAAAAAAAAATTATTTTCTCTTATGAAAAGATAGAG